CTGAAATGCATGGTAGCGCATTTTTGCCACGTTTTTGCGGAGTTTTGCAATTTGCATTTTTATTCTGTTCAGCAGCAAAAAAAAAATTCCACTTTAACACAAAAAAGCTGAACAAAACACAGTAAAAACGCGTCAAAAACGTGTGTTGAAAATTGCAAAATGATCTATGAAAAGCACTGCAAAACGGACAAAAAGCAAACTGCATAGGTGTGATGAGAAAAGGTATTTAGCAGTTTTATATTTATTAAATAATTATTTTTCTGTGTACTGTGGGAGACCAAATATAGTGAATGCAGGGTCCTGGGTTTAGTAACACGTTAACCTTTAAGGTAGGCCATACATTGGTTTAACAAAAAAAAAAATAGTCAATTCCCCCATTCACACATTCAATGTGGATAGGCGCATCCTACCCACTGAGTTATTGTATTCGGACAGCAGGGAACCTTCCACGCCATCAGAATACATTGATCACTGCAGCCGGCAATTGAAAAATACCTAAAACGTTGTTTTGCAGATTTTAAGACAGGCTTGTAATATAATATTATACATGACAGACTGCCTTGTCACAGGCAGGTAACTTGATACAAGCTAACTATGCTTGCTATCACATCCAGTAGCAGCAGCATGCTTTGTGTACTACCTGTCATGATGGGGTTAAAAAAACAAAAATTAACCCGTTCTAGTACAAAAACAGCAGATAATCACTACTATAGGAGATTAATTTATACTGTGAAACAGTGAATAAATAAAAAAAAAATATATATGTGTGTGTTAATATATATATAAATAAATATGAAGTAAGATATATATAGGGTATTTTAACTGGGAGTTAGACGTGAAGCTATATGAATCGTGAGGGAGGGATACAAATCTTTTATATTAAAGTAGCACTAGAAGCTGAAACTTTTTTGCATGGCTATGATAAAATGCACAATGCTGGTAAATTGCAAGCCAGAAAGTATAGTATAGAGTGCCCCTATATACTTCTGCCTTTAGAATCACTTTAAATCACTTCCTTCTCCTGCCCACACATTCACAAGTTCTCAGGTACTCACTGTCATGTATGGATGGTGTACTTAGCTGTATGTGACATAGTCATGCCCTGGAGCGATTGTGGCGTAAAACCAAATTCCAGCGAGCTTTAACCCTATATAAATCTTAAAATACAACTCCTCCCTCTATGCTGCCAAACAAGCCTACTTTGTCACTCTTATTAATACCTTTTCATCCAGTTCTCGTTGTCTCTTCTCTACTTTTAACTCTCTACTTTCTCCACCGCCATCTCCACCCACTAACTCACTCACTGCTTATGAGATTGCCAATCATTTCAAAAACAAGATTATGTAGTGGAGATGCCCCTATGAATTGCATCAGACACCTATCCCACTTAGCATACCTTATACAAACCTCCATCAACACTTTCCTCTTTTGACCTTGCTACAACTGAAGAGGTCACTAACGTTTTCTCAGAAGCCCATCTAACCACCTGTTCCTTGGATCCTGTTCCCTCACAACTACTATGGTCACCCTTTTCTTCTATCCTATGCTCCCTCTCTAAAGGCACCTTTCTCTCCCCTCTAAAGCATACACAGATCACTTCCATACTTAAAAAGCCCTCACTGGACCCCACCAACCTGAACAACTTAAGACCCATCTCCCTGCTCCCGTTTACCTCTAAACTCTTAGAACGCTTAGTCTACAATCGCCTGAGCTTCTACCTCACTGACAACAACTTTCTTGACACTTTACAGTCTGGCTTTTGCTCACTACACACCATTTAAACTGCCCTACTTAAAACTCACTAATGATTTACTAACTGCTAAAACCAATGGCCACTACTCCATACTCTTACTACTTGACCTCTCTGCAGCTTTTGATGCTGTTGACCATCCCCTCCTCAAAAAAAAAACTCCACTCTCTAGGCCTCTGAGACTCTGCTCTCTTCTGGGTCTCTTCCTGCCTATCGCAGCACTCCTTCAGTGTTATCTATACCTCTGTCTCCTCTGCTCCACTTCCACTTTCTGTAGGGGTACCTCAAAGTTCCATCCTTGGACCCCTTCTCTTCTCCATCTACATCTCCTCCCTTGGTCACTTGATAAACTTCCATGGCTTTAAGTACCATCTCTATTCTGATGTCACACAAATCTTTCTACTCCTCACTTCACCCCTTCAGTCTCCTTGCGTATTACTAACCTACTAAGTGACTTATCGGTATGGATGTCACTCCACTTCCTCAAGCTAAATCTTTCTAAAACAGAGCTCATACTATTCCCTCCAGTCTGTGCCCCCTTCCGTTACTTCTCCATCAAGATCAATAATACAACCGTCAGTCCCTCCCCTCATACCAGGGTAATAGGTGTAATTCTGGACTCCCATCTGTCCTTTCAGCCCCAAATCCAATCACTGTCCAAATCTTGTAGACTTCACCTCCGTAACATCTCCAAGATATGCCCATTTTTAACCGCTGAAACCACTAAGCAACTTATCCACTCCCTTGTCATCTCTCACCTTGACTATTGTAACTCCCTCCTCATTGGCCTACCTCATCGCAGGCTATCCCTTCTTTAGTCTATCATGAATGCAGCTGCCGCCAGACACATCCATCTTACCAAACGTTCCATTTCTGCCGTCCCTCTCTGCCAATCCCTCCACTGGTTTCCCATTGCCTAACAAATAAAATTCAAAACAATAACATATAAAGCCATTTATAACTCTGCCCCAAATTACATCACCAATCTTGTCTCTAAATATCACCCAAACCGTACTCCGCTCCTCGCACGACGGCCTGTTCTCTAGCTCCCTTGTCTACTCCTCGCATGTTCATCTCCAGGACTTCTCCAGAACCTCATCCATCCTCTGGAACTCTCTACCCCAATCTATCCAACTGTCGCCTACTCTGCCCACTTTTAGGAGATCTCTGAAAACATGTCTCTTCAGGGAAGCCTATCCTGCATTCAGCTGATAACTGAATCTTCTATTTCTCCTATCAGCTCATCCCTCACAGTTATTACCTTTTGTACCACCTCCCTCCCTCTCAGATTGTAAGCTCCAAGGAGCAGGGCCCTCCTAACCCTCTTGTATTGAACTGTATTGTTGCTGTATTGTCTCCCTTTATATTGTAAAGTGCTGAGCAAACTGTTGGTGCTACACAAATCCTGTATTATAATAATAATAATAATAATAAAAAAGTATGTGTTGCACTGTGTATACTGCCATGTGTGAACAGTCTACTCAGTTGTATGTGTGCTGCACTGTATTTATTGATATCTAAACAACTAATGCATTCTGTATGCAGGCCAACTAATTGGCTGACCAACTAATTGATAATGAAAATATTTGGCAGCTATTTGCATAATAGATTATAATCGATTATGTTGATTAGTTGTTTCAACCCTAGTAAAAAGCACAGGATTCTCTTGGTTCCTACAATCTTTATAACACTCATGAAAAGAAGGTCCCATTCAAAGAAGTACAAAAAAGAGTAAAAGATCATAGCGTAAAACAACTTCTTTTATTAAATGGTCATATTAAAACATTCCAGTGCTACTCGTAGAGTGCTCAGCACAGCACTAAGGATCTGACACCGAAGACATGGGTCGAACACCACACCAGTACACTTCCTGCTCTGTGACTGGCATCCTTTCATCATTGTGATGTCAAAGTACGCAAGCCTGCTCAATGCTTTTAATCTATACATACATCATCAGCAGTTGTGAGGGTACTGCGATATCTGTACAAATAAATACAAAGTCACAGGTAGGTCATTTCAAAGCCAGGAGAGATGTCGCTCTGATAGCTGATCACATCCCCCCCCAACCTTCACAGATCCTACCAATAAGGCTAGTAGTTACCCATTCACTTTATCTTGCTCCAATAGAGACTTAGCCCTTCTCCTGAAGGATGTTTGGGTCAAACTAGCCATACATTCTAATTTCTCCCAGATTCCTGTAAAGCAAGATACAACAATTCCTTATTAGGGAAGGATGCGTGAAGACCAGCATATTGCCTCTAAAAGTCCTGCAACCATCGGCAAGCAATACAGCAGGGCTGGCAGCCAAAATGGGCTGTTAACAAGGCCTGTGGTTGTAATCACACAGGAAGAAATAACGTTAAAGGTCCATTCACATTTTTTCCAGTCACGTCCTGATGAAGGGGGCATTTTTGGATCCCCAAAATGCATTTGTTACTCTTTGGCTTGTTTCCCTGACTTTTATTGGAAAAAAGTTGTATCTGGACCTTGTAGCAGTAGTATGACACTTCAATTTCCATTTTTCTGGGATATGAGATTCTGCCCACAAAAGCTGGCCTTTGTTTTGTTCTTTGGTTGTTCATGACAAAGGTATATTCTGAGGTCATTCCTAGTCTTCATGATGGCTTTGCAAGCCTCTATCACTTCCAAGATGGAGTAAGTGCATTCTGCAAGATCTGGATCAGTCATAGGGCTCTGCATAGTCACCAAGTCAAGGGGAGTGGGTTCCGTGCCATTCAGATCCCTCTCCATTATGGCATCCGATATTGGCATGGTGTGACCACTAATATCCCTATCAGGCATATACAAGATGGTGAATAAAGAGCACATAACCCATCCTTTCTGGGGCTGTTAAGCCTTTGGGGTTTTCTCCACCCCCCCTTCCCCAAAGAGGCATAGTGTCCCACAAGGGTCCCCAAGCACCACAGATGAGGCAAGGGGTTTACCAAGAGAGGGTGTTAAATAGATGAGTGGATATTTATTTCAGGATGCCAGGTGCTCCAGTGGACACATCTGCTCTGGCTTACATCCTAGCCATGCCCCTCATCTAATGTCCATTGTTGATGGAGTTCTTTAAGCAGATTTTTGCCCGAAAAAAGACCAACCTGCCGTCTATTCTGTATGAGAAACAAGGTGTCCTTTGGCTTTATGAAAACACTATCTGTTTCCTGGACCTCTATCTAGGCTTTAAAATTCAATATACCGTATTTTTTGCTCCACAAGACGCACCTGACCAAGACGCACTTAGGTTTAAGATGCAAAAAAACAAGAAAAAAATATTCTGAACCAATGGATTGCAGACATAGTACAGGAGATGACCAGACACTGCAGACACAGTACAGGATATGACCAGACACTGCGGAGACAGTACAGGAGATGACCAGAGACTGCGGACACAGTACAGGAGATGACCAGAGACTGCGGACACAGTACAGGAGATGACCAGAGACTGCGGACACAGTACAGGAGATGACCAGAGACTGCTGACACAGTACAGGAGATGACCAGAGACTGCTGACACAGTACAGGAGATGACCAGAGACTGCGGACAGTACAGGAGATGACCAGAGACTGGAGACAGTACAGGAAATGACTGCTGACCTTTGGGGAGGGAGGGGGAGCAGGTACCTGAATTTGACAGGTACCCGCTCCCACTTCCGCGGAGTTGTCCTCCCTTTAGTGACAGCCGGGTGCCCAGTGCGCATGCGCGAGAAGCGCTGCGCTTTGTGATTGGTCCGGCGTCTTCCGGGACCTGTCATGTGTCCCAGAAGATGCCGTACCATTCACAAAGCGCAGCGCTACTCATGCATGCGCACTGGCCACCCGGCTGTCAAGCCGAGAGCCCACACTAAAGAAGCCGGTGCGGGAAGACTGTGAAACGCTGGACCGAGGAACAGGTAAGGTCCTGCTGAAGAGCTGAGCGGCTGGCCCGGTATTCTGACACGGCGGTGGTGGAAGTACCGGACCGGCCGCTCCATATTCGCTCCATAAGACGCACTGACATTTTTCCCCCTTTTTTTGGGGGAAAAAAGTGCGTCTTATGGATTGAAAAATACGGTAGTTAAAAATATTCGTATTTTGTTTTTGATTGTAAACATACAGTATATGTATGCTACCAAACATTTCTTAACGCATATCTTAACACATACAATATATAGGTACTTTCATATTCACCGCGCAGCTGAGATGTAAACATATAGAAAAAAAAAAATCTAACAACTGAAAAAATGCATAATAAACCACTTACCTGAGTCAATAAATGAGAGCATAGAATGTGTAAGCATGCAGCTGCCCTTGTAGTGAACAATGCAATCATCACCTCATAAACCAATGAAGAATAAAAGCAGCGCAAAAACAATGATATACACTAGCAGAGTGAAGATATAACACTGTAAAATATACAAATATTTAAGTCATTTGACATAAGTCCATCAACTGAAAAATGAAATCTGTAATGAAGAGCAAAGTCCTTATTGATCCACTGAATCACCACGTGAATAACATAACGATAATTGATGGAGTAAAGTGCACTCAGATATCACCATGTGCTTGATGAAGGGCTTGTTGGTTGATGATCTGTACTACACTGACACTCACCATAAGTGCTATTGCCTATCAGGTTTGGATGGCCCACGATATCTGGTGAGTGTTACTGAATTGGGAAAGGTTTTCCTCTGGAGCACGTGGTGATATCAGAGTGCACTTTACTCAATCAGTTATTGTTCTGTTGCTCACGTGGCGACTTCGGTGGATCAATAAGGACTTTGCACTTCATCACAATTTTCATTTTTCATTTGACTTCTGTCAAATGATTTAAATATTTGTGTATATTTACAGTGTTATATTTTGTGTCATATTTTCACTCAGCTAGTGTTATATATATATATATATATATATATATATAATTGTTTTTGTGCTGCTTTTATTCATCATTAGTTTATAAGTACTATTTTCTACATGGGACACCGGGAAGTGATAGGTGCACACAGGACTAGGACTGAGGACTAGGATATGTTTATAGGAGTCCATCCTAAGCTAAGGTATTTATCATTTACATTTTATGACCTCTTTTGCTTCTTAACTGATTTTATGAGAATAGTGAAAGTCTCATATTCATTTCATCAGAAGAACATAAAAGTAAATCCATCTATAATTAATACACACTTGACACACATTAACCCTATATTTGCTGGATTCTCATGAGACTGCAGTACTTTCTGCATTCTTTGAAATTAAAATGTGCTACTTTGTAACACTTTTTCATCTATTAGACTACAACACTGTTTATCACTCAGTGTGTGAAAGAGACACTGTTTAATTTAAGGGTTTAAACATGCTCTTTTATAATTATCCCTAAGAATGTAATGGAATGTGTAGATTATCCTCTCCAGCATGTCTGCTCGCATTTCCTAATAAGAACAAAGCTTTGTGCAATAGCTTTACCGTGCCTAAAAATAATTGTGAAAACCAATGACTTAGTTGTGTAACAGAGTTTGGGAACGTAATATATCAGTCGTAGGTCACTCATGGAAAAGTACAGATTAAATCAGTGCAAATATTAACTTTTAGTTGTATGCACAATGGCTCTCAGTCTACAATTTGTTTGCAGGTCCCCTCCATACCTAGAGTTATTCTGATGCATTTTGAATGCAAGGAACCATGTAAAACAGGAAGAATGTAAGGAGTCTTCTTAAAAACTATACAACATTCAAAGTATACTTGTCATTAGGGAAATGCATATGCTGACATTATTTACCTCCCCTGAAAATGTTTGTTGCCTGGATGCATGCTAGTCCACTGTTTTCCAAACTTTAAAAGAGAAGTATGGGGTTGGGAAAACAAGCTTACTTACTCACCTAGGTGGATGCAGTATTTAAGTGCCAAGATTGTGTTTAGCAAGCCTACCAGTTAAGTTTTATCTATAAAATACACAAATTTTGCAAAACATTGCGCATGCAGGGAACATAGGGTTGGTGCCCAAACAACTTAAATTTTATCTATAGGCAATACATTTTTTAAGTTTTGGATAGAGCGGGAAAGTGTTTAAACCCCTGCCAGGTTGGTTGTTGTTTTTTTCCTGTGTATGGATTTCCCTTCATTTCCTGTCCTAGAGGCGCTACAGATGTTAGAGGAAAGCTCCAAAAGTTAAGAGTATTCTCCTCTTAGACAGTTGACACCAATCAAATGTCAACCCCTTGACGCCGGCACCTGCCGGCCCTTTAAGGGGTTTTAGATGCTGGGAAGCAGGGGGGTTGTGATCATGTGACTGGCTGTCACAGTGGTCACATGATTGGAAAGCGCCCCATTGCAAGTAGCGATGGGGAGCTTTCCATTAGCCTCTGGAAACTGTGCCAGGAGCACGCACTGTGTGCACTCTCGGCACAGTTCTGTTTTTTGGGGGGGGGTACGCATATATGGGTTAAGGTCCACCTGCCAAGAGGCCGCATATACAGCAGGTAAAATAAGTATTGAACACATCACCATGTTTCTCCGTAAATATATTTCTATTTTTTTTTTTTTTTTTTGTTTTTTTTTTTGTTTTTCTTTTGTTTTTTTTTTTTTTTGTTTTTTTTTTTTTTTTTGTTTTTTTTTTCTTTTTTTTTTGTTTTTTTTTTTTCGTAAGGTGCTATTTACATGAACTTTTCACCACATGTCGGTAACAACCCCTCCAATCCATACATACAAAGAAACCAAAACAAATAAATTCAGAAATGAAGTTATCTGTACTAAAATTGAATGGCACGTTTTTCATCCTTTGTTGCATACCAGTGCTGCTGATTGCCTTTATGCTTTCTCAGACATTTCCCACATGTACATGCTCCATTGTTGGCTGCACATCATTACTGTGAACCAGTTTGAAAGACAAAGTTGGAGCACACCTGCGCCTGTGTGTTGGTACAGCCACTTAGAGTCTCCACCAGTGGGTGCATGTGACAAGGTGATAATGCAAGAGCACAATAGGGAGACAGTCACCCTACAGCAAGAGATGACTGACCAAGAATCTTCGGGGTAGCATTTCAAAATGTTCTTCAAATTAAAGCTGTAGATTTAAAGAGAGTGAAAACAATGTTTGATATTACATTGACATGTTAAAGTTATTAGTGGTTTAATCATTTGGTTTAGATTTGTTTTAGATACATTATTTATGGTTGAAATGGATCTGGAGCACTGAATGATGATCTAAATGTCACTCGTGTACAAATTTTTCATGGTCTTCTGATCAGGCAGCATGAGCCTCTGGCAATCAATTAAATTATTGTTTTACTTCCTTTCATTCCATTCAGCCATTTCTATAATGGAACTCTTCCTGTTTGTTATCACTTCCTTCTATTCTGCACAGAAAGTGTTTTGCTGAATTTCATTTTTAAAGGCTGATAAATCACACATAGAAACCCAAGTTAATAAAATTCTTACAAAGATTTGTCATACATAGAGATAAAAAAATTAACACATCTAACATTTCTCCCGCAGGAACCGTTTTGATAGGTTGGGTTCTCTGTTCTTCTGCCTTGACTCTGAGAACAACCTCAGCCCCACTAACACACCAGGTTAAGCAAATGCATACTGCACACAAATATATCTACCCTGCACAAAACCAAGGTTCAGTATTAAGTATAAAAGCAAACATCAGACTTAGTGTTAAATGAACCCAATATATTGTCGCAGGTTGCAATAAATAGCAGTATACACATAAATAAGTAAAGGATTAGTTCACATCAATCACTATATTCAGTAAGCTGTAGCAGCATAGAATGGAGTTCTATGTGGCTAAATAGGGCAAACAATAGATTATCCAACTTTCTTTCCTTCCACCATGGGTGGAAGGAAAGAAAATTGCTCCAATTTCCCACATCAACACAGTCAGTGTTAATGAGGGAATCTCTGCCATGGGGTTATTGTGTTCTGCCAGGCTGGGAGTGTTCCCTGCCGACAGAAAACAATGATTAGTGTTGCTGGGATTAGCCAGAAGCACTAATTGTTAAGGAAAAATCTGACAGGCTGGTTGTAAACAAGTTGATCGATAGATTGACTTGTGTATAACCAGGGTACCCATATAATTTGTGCAGTCCCTGCTGAACTGGCCAAATTTCAATCCATGTATGGCTGAATTTAGAGTAAAGCTGATAATCTACAAAATCAACAATAAGAAATAGCATTAGCAAACAGTGACAATGATAATCAATACTGCGATAACTCTTCTGTAAAAAGTAGGCTTTATCCACTTTAGAGTGCACTCTGTATGAATAGCAGAAAATAAATGCAAAACTCCCTTAAGAGGTTCCTCCTGCTATGGACAACAGACAAAGTTTCTTGTGAACAGTCTTTAACCCTAGTTCTTCAGCCAGCTAGCATTAGGGCCCAGTCTTTACGGTGGTGTGCATCAGTACAGTTCCAGGAAAGTCTACAAGGAGTAGATGAGTACAGTGCCAGTATAATCTGCATGCAGTAAATGCTGCTAGTTAGATGGCCATTCCCAATGTGCTCAGCCTCTGTTAGCAGCAACAGGTTTGCAGTATCCTTTCACCAGTCCCAGCTATACAGTAACAGGGGTTTCACTGTTCAGATGTCAGCTCACTTTTGGATCTGCCTGGAGTGACTATGGTCCTCCGCTCATGAAGGCTTGTATCAGGTTGAGGTGCACACAGGAGCAGAGATGTGCACACTTCAGTCCCCTCGAAGCAAAGAAAAAGTTCCTCTATATTCAGCCTGAAAAAATATAACTCTGTCTCTTTCTTCTTATACCTGGCTA